CATCACTCATTTTGTTGTGTCTGTCCAGGTTCGTGCTGCGCTGAAGCCTATCATCTATCTTGACACCCTGCCCATGTCCCAATCCAGATATTATCATGATTTGTACACACACAACACAATTTGGCCCTTGCATCGCCCCAAGGGCTATCCAGGAGCCAGGGTGCACACATGCCGGTTGCTTTCACGGGGCCAACCTCGTGACAGCAGCACCCTTTGCCCATCATCCCATGGCTTCATCATCTCCGTGTCTGGATAAGACGCCGCCCGGCATCGCAGGTCAGTTCACCACGTACACAATGGAAATCGCAGCCGATAAATAGCCATGCTTTTCTTCCCAGGGGTATTCTGTAGTTGTACCATGGTATGTTTCCATTTTTATTCTCTGCGCTTTTACATATGAAAATCGCGACCAATAAACCGGCATATCCATGTGGTATTTTTGCACTAATATAAAGTGCTTCTTCTTCTAAAGAAAAGAAAAGGGTTCCCTGGCATCAAAACAGGTAGTGGTACACAACAACGATGCATCACGACGACGACGACGACGATGATGATGATATTGATGCCTGACCCTCCTATCTAGCTAGCTTTTGTTCCGCTCCAGCCAGCCTTATAGAGGGAGGGTCCATGTTCGTTTCGGGCATCAAGCAAGTTGTGATAGGCCAGCACAACTCCGTCCTGTCGGTTTGGCACAAGGGAGGATAGAATAGGTTCATTCCCTTGGACTTTGATGATGCTCAGGCAGCACCGCAGCCTAATTAATCATAGGTACTCCCTCCGTCCTCTAATATAAGAACGTTTTTGACACCAAACCCTGATAGGTAGCATCCAAAGAAGCCTGGATGCTTGTTTTCTCTGAGCAATTGTACCTCAATTAACATCCAGGGGCGTGACATCAACTGGCCAGGAGCCGTTCGTCTTGGCAGGCCATTACCGGTAGTACGTACTCCTAGTTGTGTAATTAATCAAGTGCTATCTCTAATTATCAAGTACTCCCTCCGTCCGGAAATACTTGTCATCAAAATGAATAAAAGGGATGTATCTAGATGTATTTTAGTTTTAGATACATTCTTTTTTGTCCATTTTGATGACAAGTATTTTCGGACGGAGGGAGTACTACTGTCATCCAACCACCGGGTAGCTACTTGTCAAACACGTTGATGTCAGGGTGCGATCCTCCGGATCTCCACCCCACGTCGTCCTACCGTGGCCTTCGTCGCGCCACGTAGGCCGGCGCGACAACGTTGCTGTCGATCGGGGTCGTCGTCACACGATTGCTTCTACACGTTTTTAATACTCCTTGCTAGAGTTTTAGATGCCCCTTGGGGTGACATCAGTCGATTAATCTGTGACCACGTCTCCTGTAGATTGTGCTAGCTCAGGAACAGTAATTTGGATTCCCAGAGTCGTCGTGTCGATGTTATGTCATCTCCTTATCAAGATTACTGTACATTACTGGTGAAATTCAGGCCGTGGAAGGAACTCGGGAAATCCATGGGAATTTCACATGAATTTCTTGAGAAATAATTTGATTCAATTCAATTATGATAGGAATTGCGAAAGAAAAATTGAACGCTCCGAGGAAAAGCAGATCTACCTAGCGATCAGAATCAAGTGGCCTGAATGTCGTCGCCATGCCCATGCATGCGTGTATTTTTCAGGCTTTGAGCGTCATCAGAATGCTTTCCGGCGATTCATTGGCCATAGACTCGCTCAGCCCAAGTGATGCAAATCTTCTGGAAAGTCTTGACCATTTCAGTTTGATATTTTTCACCGTCCCTTTCTCTCTCAACACAATTCACCCACCGTTCGTTGGCTCACGCCCTCGTGCTTCTCGGGTTGCTGAGCTCATCTGGATCCGGGCGAATTGCGCGTGAGCGCGACGTGCCAGCTCCACCAGCTCATGCGCATGCGGTAACCCCTTTTCACCTCAAGGGAATACTCTTGAGAAGCTGAGAGAGGGTATATCATCATCATCATCATCATCACGTCGTTTTCCCGTTAGAAGAAAAGGCGGAATTCCCATGATCGGGCGGGGCGTGATGCATTGCCACGCCAGCGACGCATGTGTTCTACGGTTGTTGCCCACCGGAGATGGTCAAAGGCCAATTTCATATTCGCCCTACCTCATACGTACGCAATCTCCATCTTACTGCTGGTCAGTGCTCTCACTGTTGAAGCCAATAGATTGATCGGCGTCTACCTCGGATTAGCAGTGGTGCTGGGGAATTTCCATGTTAAGTTTCAATACTCAACAGGAAACTAACTTCACTTTTACTGTGTGAAATTTTAGGGGGTATGGATAATCTTGGGTGGGTGAGTGCAGGGAGTCTCGCTCACAACTTGGCCACTTGAGCTCAAGTTCTCATGACGAACTCGGATTTTTGGTTCCTACTTACGTGGTACGACTTGTGTGCTTTACTCCAAATAGACGTCGTCGAATTTTCTTCTCCGCTGGAGACAACAGCAGTGCTATACACACGACAAAAAAAAAAGACACGATGCACACGATTCATGCACGATACTTAAATCCAGCCGGACATGCACATGATTGAGAAGGGCACCAGCGGCTGGATTAGCACGTCGTGCATAGATCGGACAGCACTGTCGTCTGAGTAGCAGTTTCATGGAGACAAACGGGTCCTATCCAAAGTTGGTTGGGCAGTGCCATTCCGGCCAGTCTGACGTAGGGCACCTGCACGTACGTGCCGCGCATGATCTTGTCGATCTGATCGCATCCAACAGGCAACAGCAAGCGAAAAAAAAAAGGAGAAGAGAAACGACACAAGGATGCACGCATGCACCTATGTCATTTCGTGCGGTTTTTATTTTTGCCCTTTGACAACTCATGGGGTTCTCGTTGTTTCCCCACCGGAACCTACCCACGGTAGCGATCTATGTATTTTCTTACATAGTACGTGCCGTTGAGTCGTGGCTAGCTTGTCATTTTTTGCAAGGTAGGTTTCTACTTCACGCACCTAGGGGCCGACATGCCGACGTGTGACTGAACATCTTGCTTCTTGCCGCAAGTTACACCATTATCGTCTTCTAAGAGCAATTTTAGCAGAATCACGGTGATTGATGCCATGATAACCGTCTGCTTGGCGATATTTGTCGAAAAGGGCAGTCTAGTTTTTTCAGGGCAAAGAGCGGTCTTGTAGAGTCATCATCCCATGTGCGGTCGGCATAATGAGGCCGCTCCAAATTAAGCCTGCGAGTCTTCATTGTGGGGGAATGTTTCAGAGTGCACTCCATCCCAAGAATAGTTTGGTGCGAGCGACATTTTCCCCTGTCGCTACTCTGCCCTCGCACGCCAGCGCCTCCCCTTCCATGCCGTATTTATCGCCGACCACTTCCCTCCATCCTAGTCCATGCCGACGATGCCATAATGCATAATGCATAATGCAAATATTTAGTTTCAGTTTGTGCATCCCTGCGAGTCTCCATATTGAGTTTGTGCATCACCTCAGCAGCTTCAATATAATTAATATAAAGCGCGCTCTAAATGAATATGGAAGCCTGCACAACTATGCACAAACTCAAAGTCACCATATTTAGCTGCCTCCACATGCGGGACCCATTTATCAATGGGAAATCCGTTTTCCCTTACTTTCACGTTATCCCACATGAGACGGGAGACCACGTAAAGTTTCTTTCCCACCATACACAACTACCACATGGAGTGTGCCCCAAAGGCAGCCCCTTGACTCCAATTGTGGAGGTTTAGAGGCCAGATATGGAGAGTGCTCCACAAATTACGATGGCATGTCATGATATGGCGCCTCTGCTAGAGTGTGTTTTTGTAGCCGGAATCACCGCATTCATGATTATCATAGCGATTTGCCCATCATGGCGACTTTGCTGGAGTTGCTCTAAACTCCCTAGGGAGCTGTCTACGTTGACAAAAAGGGAGCTCTTATTGTCTTGGTTGTGGATTTGATGTGGGATCCCACACATCATCGACCTAACATTCATTTTGACATTTGGGTATTCGTGTTGTTCATTCGGGGTGTTTTGATCGTGTGTCGTCGCATCGTTGTTTCACAAATTATAGAAAGGAGAAACGGCTGGCACATCGCACATGTGGGATAGAGGGTTTGTTGGCTCAAACCAACAACACAAAAGGGACCATGAGCAAATAAATAACCAAATGAACCCTACAATGGAAACGGCTTCTAGCAGATGTGAAAAATCATGGCAATTTGAGCACTCCGAGGAGAGGAGAGGGGATTTTTTTGCTGGGTGGAAATGAATTAATAAACCTTCATAAGAAATGTATCATGATTAGTTTGCTGGTTGGCTTCCTGCGGGCGCCACGTGGGTGAGGTTAGCTCGTGATGATAAATCACACGTCACACGTCGTTGTTGCACTGATAAGATTCATCATGACATCGACTAAATTGCAGCTAGCACCAGCTTAGCTTGAGTGTTGTGGTGGTGAACCGTACGTGTAGCATTAAAAAAAAGTCTTACATTTTGAAATAGAAGGAGTACTATAGAACAAGAGCCGGGAAAATCGGCTGCAACAAACAACCACCTGCCATGGATTACAAATATCCAACACAGTGCCATTTCATGATAACATCATAAGCCCGCTAAGAGAAACCTTCAAAATCAAAATGAATTGGCATCTAGAAAACCGATGTGCATGATGAAAGGACCATGATTTATACAGTGCTAAATAGTACACTCCTCTTCACTCATCCATGTACTTACAAGCGTGTGGTCGAAAATAAGCACGAGATGACACGATAATTCCTAACTTTTCATCCCCTAATCAAAAGAATTTAAGCCTAACTATAGCTAGCTAGTACATACTAGTACTCCATTATTGATCCCAATCAAGAGAGACTGAAGATCGAGCAGCAGTAACTCACATGATCTCAAGAGTCAAAAGGAGAAATCAAAAGAGGAGAAAAGATTAACTCCTGATCAAACGGCTGTGCGTACGTCCGTAGTACCACCTCCCGTATGCATCTTTGATTTTGCTCAGAGGAGGATCAGAGCCAGAGCGCGCCGGCGTCCTTGAGTATGGGCACGAGCTCGCCGGAGATGTGCACGGCCATGAGCCGGTCGAGGCCGCCGAGGAGCCTCCCGCCCACGAACACCGCCGGCAGCGCGACGACGGCCTCGCCGCCGGCGTCCCCGGCCACCGCCGCGGCGAGCTCGGCCTCGTCGGCGACCTCGTGGACGGCGGGGTTCACCCCGAGCCCCTGCAGCAGCCGCTTCACCACGTGGCTGAGGCAGCACCCGCGCCTCCCCACCACCAGCACGGGGCTCTCCGCCACCGCCCGCCTCACCGCCTCCCCGCCGTCGCCCCTCGCCGCCGCGTCGGCGAGCGCGCCCTCCTGGCCGGCCGCGCCGTCGGCCTCGGCCTGCTCGGACCGCCGCGGCCACGCCGGCAGCCGCCCCGCGCTGTAGGGGATTGCCTGGTACATCTCGATCGGACGGCCGGGCCACGCACGCACGTGATCGATGGAGCTCTTCTTCTTCCTCCTCCGCTGCCTTTTCCGCTGGGTGCCTTGCGCAGCTTGCTTGCGTCCGTGGTGGTGTGATGGGCAATGGCCGTTGGGAGGCCGGATATATAAAGCGCGATGAGCTCATGGCGGGAAGTGGGGTACGTCACCGGCGCGGTGGCGAGCGTTTCTCTCCCCGGCGGGGCCCACGCGGCGAGAGGACGACGGCGACCGCGGCTTTCTCGCGCCGGTCGCGGCGCGGCCGTGTGCGCGTGCATGCAAAGTGGTGCGACGCGGGGGGCGGCGTGACGTGGCGGCGCGTCAGCCGCGGTTGCGGGGTGAGACCGCGCGGTGGTTCGGCGAGCCCCGCTCGTGACGGGGGCGACGTGGCCGGTGACGATTGCCGGGGTGGCTGGACCTTTCCTGGTGACTGGCGGGTGGGACCGGGGGCGGCTGCCGTGCCGCACGAGGACGCCGTGGAGGAACTGGGATCAGGTGTGGAGGATGGGGATGAGGAGCATGATGTGTCCTAACAGTGATCTGTTTGTTTGTTTGTTTTTGAAAAGGAGTAGTCTGTCTGTTTATACTAGCTGAGTGATTTTTTAGGCGTGGTAGAGATATATTCTTAATTTTCGAATACTATGAAAAATGTGGACGCATATTTGCTGCATTTTTTTAGGGGAAGCGCAAGATAGCTCCATGCTACTCCCTCCGTCCCATAATGACTGCGGGAGTAGCATTCTCACATCCACACCACTGCCTCAGCAAACACCTCTGGAGAGCTCTGCATATGGCAGCGCAGATGATTTAATTTCTCTGGCGTAGAAGTATAACGTACCTCGGCAAGAGAGCTTTGCCGAATGTTCCTCTTCAAAACCTACTGAAGGAGAATTTGAATTATTTCATCCTACATCTATCCTCGATCTCATGGATGTTTCGACTGAAGACCCGTGCACTCCCATCGAGGGAATGCCTTTTTTCCGACGACGTAATTGAGGAAGTGACATCCTTCGTGGATGAGCTACAAAATCTTCACGTTGAAATTGATAGTCGATGAAAAATGGCAAGATGAAGCTGGCTGATATGAGTTCAGTTTTGATGACCGCCAGATAAATGCTATCTTGCTCAACATAGAAGAGCCGAAGCAAGAGAAGAAAGGTTATATTGAGAAGAAAAGCACCCGGTGGGCGTGCCTAGCAAATGCCATTCTAGAATGTACTCAGAAGCAGAATATCATTGTGCTAGCCTTCCTCTCTGAAGAAAGTTATTGCTGCATCAGTGACTCGGAAAAAGTGAAAGGTTCAAGAAATTGAAACTCGGCCTCCCAAGAAGAAAAACTCCACTCAGCTCCGCATCAATGAGCCAGTGCAGGTATCAGTGAGTGGCCGTTGTGCTAGCCTTCCTCTCATGAATATCTTCTACCACGATTTCGTGGTCTCCCTCCCGCTCCTCATAGTGATTGTGGCAAAGGTATTGTGGGCACCTCTCAATTAGTTCCTTATCCTGAAGCTCCAACACATCAAATCCATTTCAGCAAAGATCAAGCATCTTTGCGTGTTTGCCCTGATCCAGTGGCATAGGTCCTTCCTTCTGTCGTACAAGAGCTAACCATGAGCCACCTTCAAACCACAAGATTCGTGTTCGTCTACAACAAGCGCTAACGAAGCATATCAAGCATGATGGCAAGGATAAATCTTTGCACTTTTGCTAAAGCATTACAAGAACTCGACGCTTTTAGCATTAGCAATAACTTTAGATAATGATAAAACTTTGCTTCATCGGACGTGTGATGTTCCTTGCGGAAACTTCGTTTGCAGAGCAACTCCTCCTCTGCCACGGTCAAGCTCTTCGGATGGGATCATGATCACCCCTGGTGACTTCAACGACACTGTCGCATTGCCTGCATTTGATCCAAGCTTGCAACGCCAAGACACTCCGTCGGGCCCAACTTCTCCTGTTGCCGACAAAGAAGCTGCTCTGATCATCGCTGATTTTTCGACTTCCTCCTCGTTGTTGGATTCTTCATCGATATCTTCCTCGAGCATGTGGACGAGTAGTCTTCCACTTTTTCTTGACCTTTTTGGTCACTTGTTGACAAAGGGGGAGAGATCAATGTGTTAATAGCTTCGTGGGTCCTTTGGTGGGTTTTGCCTCGAGGTTGCAACACTTGAACTTTGATTTGCCTCATAAAGTGTTGTAACACTCTTAAGTCTGTGATCCTCTGTATGCGTTAAACTCGTGTATTCCTCATGCATGCTTAAATTGCTATATTATATGCATGTGGTTATTCCTCAGAGATCACTGTTAGATGCATTGTATTGTTCCTCGCAAGTTTATACATTGCAATGGATGCCCTGAAATTCCAAGATATAGAGGAGATCACCAGAATTCAAACCTACCATGTGCAAATGCATTCAAATGCAAATTCCTCGATATGCACATCTTTAGGAGGGAGCTTCCTCTATATCTTCGAATTCAAGATCCTCATGTTTCTACTTCCAACTTAATTTATCATCTCTTGAAGCTTAACTGGTATTGTTACATCAATCATCCAAAAAGAGAAGATTGTAAGTGTATCTAGTGCCCCTACATGGATTTGGATGATTAATGACAAAAAAGTAAGCGACTAATATATTTGTGAGTGTACATGGGTGGAAGTCCCAAAGTATTTTGTTTAACATGAGAGTTATGACTCTAAAATTTGTAATGACAATGAATATCTTGGAATGCTTGTTCGAAGAACAATCAACTCGTAGCGAGGAATAAGTGCATAATGAAGAATGTGATGTCCTGGTTGCATTTTCTTCTATTTGAGTCATAGGTCAAAACATACTATTAAGGGGTCTAAGAGAAAGTTGAGATTTATGTTTTCGGTGTGTACTCAATCCAAACCTATTTCTTCGAGTGAAGACTTGAAAATCTCTTCTGAGTGGATAGTTTTTCTTCAATGTCCGAGATGATATTCTTTGGGACACTGAAGAGAATCCGGCCGTTTTGCCACATGTTGTGTGCACGCTGGTGGGCCAGTGCCTCTCTCCGAGGCATTGGTGATTTGGTGGTGCAACATGTTGGGCAAAAACAACCCCGATAGAAAGGTTGTGGCCTCTTTCATCATGCTTGTTAGTTTGAATATTTGGAATGAGAGAAACTTATGTGTCTTCAGACTTCTGACACAAGTCCACTCTTCCATCGATCATCTTTGGTACCATCAAGAGGGAACAAGACTTTGGACTATTCCGGATGCGAAAAATTTGGGTAGTATCATAACAGGAGAGTAATGACCTCTAGAAATAATGGTGGTGTGCAACAAACTCTATTCTCTCTTTTTTTAATTAATAGATGAGGCAAAAGCTTATGCCTCCGTTTTGAAATAAGATAAATTAGAATCATGCATTACTCATGTAATGGATATGAATGTCGGCAAAGACGTGGCAGTTTCTTTGCTCTTTTATTTTTGCAGGGAGAGAATGACAATTTCTAGGTCAACTGAACAATAGCCTCTACTGTAGACACAGCAGAATATACCGTTAAGGGATAGTTAAACATGATTGGAAACATTCTGAGGCTGGATGATAGTGCGCCGTCCGGCGGCCGGTGTTGGGAGGAAGATCGTGTAAAAGCGCGTCGCGGTCGACGACGTGATTTTGGTGGGCACCTCCTCCACTCCGCTGCCTCCCCACTACTTCTATATCTCCCCAATTCGATTTGCTTCACCGCTTGCCTACGTGTTCTTTGAAAAGAGGGCGATTTGAGCAGCAGCAGCACCTGGAGCCTTTTCTTTTTCAGATGCTCGCTCCAGTGTAACTCTCCATTCATGCATGATCTCGATCACTCGATCCAGCTAGATCAGGATAACGAACTACTCCCATCATTTCTAAATATAAGTCTTTGTAGAGATTTTAAAATGAACTACATATGAAATAAAATGAGTTAATTTACACTCTAAACTACATATATAAACATCCATTTGTAATTCATATTGAAATTTCTAAAAAGACTTATTTAAGAACGGAAGGAATACAAAGCTAGCAGCCGGCGACGTGGACACGCGTGACATCCCTCGCGACCAGGACGTACTAGCAATACACTACACTACTGAGTATACAATCGTATTGGTATAGATATCTGCGTACATACGTACATACATACCTGGTCGTAAACATATATGCATAAATCGACATGCATGACGCGCGTGAGTGCGTGCGTGCCGCGATTGGTTGCTCCGTCTCCATCCAGAGGACGATCATCACCTGGCGTGACGTGTGCGCGCATGCATGCCGTCTGCATGACACGCATGACGACTCGCAGTACGTACGTAACGTAACTGCTAGCAGCAGTTGAATACTACGTACAATGAATGGTGTATTTGTCTCGGCGTGCCGGCATCGGCCGCACATGTCACGTATGACTTGGTATGCGTCGTCGTCGTCGTCCTAGCTACATATATACGTGCTGCCTCCTGAGTTATTTGACCGGCTCGTCGGCCGGTCCATGGTTTCGGAATTTAGACAAGACGTCACGCATCACGGCATCGATCAGGTGTGCGTTAGGGCATCTCCAGCCACGTCCCCAACAGACCCCCAGGCCACTTTTTCGGCACCGGCGCCGAAAAAACGGTCCAGTCGCACTCTCAGGACGCTGAAAATCGCCAGTTCAGACTTTTTTTTCGCCCGGCGGTCACAGGCCGAACCCGGCGCGCTGAGGAGCAGTTGGGGGCTCCGGCGCTAGGGAAAAGCACGCCTGGCCCACACCGATAGGGGAAAAGTTAAGGTTTTCTTCCCCCGACTCGCCTCGCACCCCCCGCGTCCTCGGCCACCACTAGCTATATCCCGGCGACGGCCGCCGCCCTACTCCGGTAGATAGCCATTCCCCGCCGGAAAATAGCAGCGCTTCGCCGCGGCAGCCCCTCCCACAGCAGTTGGACGTTTCCGGCCGCCGTTTCCAGCCGCGGAGGCGCGGTTTAACGGCGGGTACACGCCCAC